ATATTTTGGAGGACCCAAGGACTATAATGTCCTCAAAACTCATACGAATGTGGTGGATGACCCAATGATTAAAACGTCCTCAAAACTCATGGTGGAGGACCCAAGGACTATAATGTCCTCAAAACTCATACGTTAAATGGTGGAGGATCCAAGTACTCAAACGTCCTCAAAACTCATGGTGGAGGACCCAAGGACTCAAATGTCCTCAAAACTCATGGTGGAGGACCCAAGGACTAAAATGTCCTCAAAACTCATGGTGGAGGACCCAAGGACTATAATGTCCTCAAAACTCATAGGTTAAATGGTGGAGGACCCAAGGACTCAAATGTCCTCAAAACTCATGGTGGAGGACCCAATGACTGAAACGTCCTCAAAACTCATGGTGGAGGACCCAAGGACTATAATGTCCTCAAAACTCATAGGTAAAATGGTGAAGGATCCAAGGACTCAAATGTCCTCAAAACTCATGGTGGAGGACCCAAGGACTAAAGCGTCCCCAAAACTCATAGATGATGAATTGTGAATTATGGACTAGATGAAGTCCTTATGATAATTGATTTGGACCAGGAGGAGTCATATACACTCATAGGTATATGGGTGGGTTGGGATTTGAGTTAATAACGTTGACTGCTATCATTTTCCCAAACAAACAATGACTTACGGGTTGGGTATTTTCACGTGTATATATATTGATATGTATTTCATAACTTGGGGAAAGGATTATACGTCTATGTATTACCCTATGTTTGGGTCTTATACTTGAAACGTTAGTTATGCTACATTTAGCTTGCTACTCACTCGGTACTTGTACTGACCCCTTCGGGGGGGCACCGTTTTCAGGTTGAAGCTAGGGTTTGCTACGTGCACCTTCTTACGGGTGAAATCCAATCAAGGAAGATGTGGTTCCTGCTTCATTATTTCCTTTCAAACTACCAAACACTTGCTCATGGATATTTGATTTACTATAAACTATTTTGAGCCTACGAGCCCATGTTTTGGCCGGTTGTGGCCCATGCTTTACCGTTGAATATTTCTGCTATTCATTGGTTTAAATGTGATGTTGTTATGTATGTTTACTACTGAGTATGGATGGATTTTGTTCATAGACGCCTTGTATAATTAAGTCACGTTGACTTGCGAGTGACGTCACATGGTCATACGGCGATTGTACACGTGTTTAGATGCGGTCTGGAGCGTGAAACGAAGTTAGTATGAAAAATTGCCAATTCCAAAAGGCTACATTGGGGAGTTCGAACGGCCAAATGAAAGATAAAGGGAAAGAACAGGAATGAATCATACAAGAAAATAAGGAAAGATAGACAAAAAAGTATTTTACTCATCGGCACTACTGGCCAGAATGTACATTAGAGATCAAAAGAGAAAATGAGATAGGTGAATACACAAAAATATCAAAATAAAACTATTGGCCGACATCTCTACTCTTCGGCCTCGTCATCCTCTTCTTCATCAGCCTCATCATGAGTTGGGGGCGCAGGCTCCCTACCCGCGGCCCGACCGCCTACCCGTTGTTGATTGCGACAGAACTTCTCAAGTTGATTCAGGAGGACCTTATCCTCAGAAAAATCCTTGGTTTCAATCGATCGACCAATGAACTGCTCCAGGATCGGCACCACGCCCTCCGTGACCCGCTGACAACCTTCAACATGTGTATTCTTGGCCAAAGCCTCAACCCATTCCTTGCCAACCGCAATCTCATCTGCCATATTCACCCCCCTTCAAGGTGTGTCGGGCCTTGAGGGAGCTGTGCAAAGCACTTCCCGAACAGGGTGCCTGTCCGAGCTAGCCCATGCTCTTCAGCATCTTTCGTGAACTCCTCAGAGGATCGGAATTCATCCTATGCTGATGCCCAGATGGCAAACAAATCAACAAATATTTCCCGAGGACCGTCCGGGATCTGAGGTTCGCTTTCTTTAAAAACAACCTGAGCGGCCTCAGCAGCATGAACCTTAGACCTAGCAGTGGCCAGGACTATCCAGAGTTGACCAAGCTCAGCATCAAACTACTTTTTCTCATGATCGGCAGTCTGAAGCACTTCAGCAGTAGCCTGCTCTGCAGACATCCGAGCCCTGATCAGCTCCCGCTCTCTTTCCAATCGAGCAAGTTGGAGCCGAACACTATAATGGCCGGCCTGCAGGACAAAACAGTTATTTACCGAATGGCATGAAAGATGAACAAAGAAACAAACGGTGAGAATTTACCTTGAGAGTGGCAAGGCCAACCCCTGTTTCAGCCTGCTCGACTGTCAGCTTTGGAAGGTGATAATCGTTCATCATGCCGGAGGTACTCCAAACCCAGCCAGGATGGCATCCACCATGTTCTATGATTGCATGGAGCGCGTCCTCCAGCAAGATTGGCTCCACGGGCTTAGAAGCAGAGTCTTGTCCCCCCAACGTTGACAACATCGAACAAACCCAGGGCATCATTAAAAAGAGGGTTGGTTTGCAGATCCCCGAACTGCTGATCTGCCGCCATATCAGCGAAGTTTACCTCCTCAAGAGGCACTTGTTAAAATTAATTAATTGAGCTAGTTATTCAAATTGATGAATTAGTAATTAATAATTGTTAGCCATTTTCATTAATTAACTTTTGGAAAATTATTTCTAACTTGTCTATGGGATTAGAGAATAATTTGAGCCAACCATATTTAAGCACGTTAATAAGGCCTAGAAATAGGAAATTTTAATGAAATGGATTTACATCTTATCTATGTGAATTAAATTCAAATTGCTTAATTAATGAGTTTAATTAGTTAATGAATTTGGCTATTTTTATTGAACAAAATATTGGAGAATTATTTCTGTCTTGTCTATGAGATTAGATTTTAATTCAAGCCAACCATTTTTGAATACATTGATGAAACCTAGAAATATGATAAATTAATGAAAGTAATTTCTATTCTTGTCTATGAGAAAAGAAATTATTAGTCCAATTGTTGTTTTAATTCTCCTAATTACCAGGTCCAAAAATATATCCATATCTAATTATTCAATTCATTGCCATTCTTTGATCAATCCATTTAGAGTTTAATATTTTTCATTTAGTTTATTTTTGAGCCATCATTAGTATTTGCATAATTTAATTACTTTATTTTTCAAAAACTAGTTTAGAAAATCAATCAAAAGTTTTAATTTGGAAAGCTTCCAATAATTTGCGATAACTTGTGACTGAGCTTAAAATCAAGAAACTCCTCCGCCATTCCTCAAGAGACGATACTCGGGGAAAAACCGAAAGGTTAGACTCTGTTTTACTACAACGCCGCGAAAGCGGTTATCAAATGGCGCCGTTGCCGGGGAATGGCACGGTGAAATCTTGATTTTGATTTTAGCATGGGCGAATTCAAGTTAGGGAGACTTTCTATTTCTTTTTTGTTTTGTTCTCACGTGTTTGCTCGAGATTTTCTCATGGATTACTCAAACGAACACTTTCATTCTCATCCACCATATCACTATCGATATAATGAACAACAAGTTTTCCAAAATATAAGTGACAGCCGTCAAAGAGATTCGAACTGTCATGTCATAGGGTGGCAAGCCGAACGGCGGGAAACTTAGTTTTCTACTTCCTCGTGACTCGAACACGCTCGGAACATCAGAAGTGGGGGACTTGTGATGGGATATTAAGGTCCGGCACAATATACCGGCCCAGAATATCCCTGAAGCCCAGACATAAGGGAAGGTCCAGGGAAAATCATAAGGCCTAAATGGCAAGCCCTGTTCGGCACGAGAATTGGGTAATTAGCTTATTCATGATTGATGGCTCAGCTGGGCTTAATCCCGAACGAGAATTGCTCAAGTAATCGACTGGAGTTAATGCTAGATCATGAGGGCATCAAGTGGCATGTGAGGCTACCAATCATATTAGAGCACCTCATACCTCCATCTAGTATAAATAGCAGCATTTAATTCATTTGTAAGGGTTATCATTTATTTATTTTCTAGCTCTAATAACATTCTAGCTCTTGTATTAGCTTTTGGACCTTAACAACCGTTCGACCATTTCTGTGTAATTGTTATTAATGTGTTAATACAAGCTAAGTTATTTGAGTAGTTGAAACATATTTTATATTTCCTTTTATACATTTTATTGTAGCAAATCACATCCTAGATACAAAGTTGGTATTGGGCCTTTGGGTGATTCAGGACAAAACCTCAACACACCCTTTGTGGTTATTATATTTTGGTAATCTTATTATTTCCAAAACTTTTTTTAGACAACACTTTTTTATTTGTGAAGTCCATAAGGTAAATATATCAATTTTATTACTTCCTCCGGTCCCAAATGAAATTCACACTTTGACTTCACACAAATTAAGGAAATAAATTTGACTTTACTGTGGGGTACACTGTTGTGATACTGTTTGACACTGTTTTGAACTCTTTTGATTTAGATAATTTGCCAAATAAGGAATAGAAAAGTGTGAAAGTTTATTTTAGACCTACCCAAAAAGAAATGTGTGAATTTCATTTGGAAACGGAGGGAGCAAATTTTACTATATTGTTGCAAGAATTAATAAAAAAACATGTTTTTGCTGAAATTGGAATTCTTTAACATTAATTAATGACTTATTTAGAAGAACCTTTGGAGTACTTATTGAATAGTTTAGAGTGATGAACTGAGACAGAAAAAAAAAAAAGAAATAGATACTACGAAGTCGTTATGAAGTATCCAACAGGACCAACAAGTACCCTATACGAAAATGTTTAGGCATCACAAGGTTTAACCTAATATCAATGAAAATCGCATTAGAAAGGCAAGCTTGTATTCAAAGTGTCACAATTAACAGAACAATTATATGTCAAAGAACTTGAGTCTGTTCAGTAGCATTTAATTTGATTAAATTAATTGGTTTTGCTAAAGTTGAGAAATTCAGTTTTAATCAGTTGAATTTGAAGAATCTCCGAATTACTAAAAAATTATTACTCCGTATGAAATACCCTAGTATATTTTATGGAAATGATAGAAAACATCACTCCCGTATATGTCAAAAAAGTTGAATACCATTCAAATCAACAAACGAAAACGAAATTAAAAGTTAGGGTAAAAGTCTGATGCTACGTAGTAAAATCATAAGCACAAAACTGGAGAAGGCAAACAAGCTTTACTGAAAATGGCAGCACTGAAAGACGGAAGAACTAAAGCAAAAAATCGCAGAAAGAACTGCATATTCAATTCCGGATTGTAGTTAGAACTTACAAAATCAACATGTTCTAAGTTCACCAAAAAGTAACATACAACCAAACAAAGAAAGTGATGAAATCACCGACGAAGAAACATCGAGCAATATTCAGTAAATCCCTATCCACCGAACCCGTACAGAGTCCTTCCCTGCCTCTTCAGCGCGTAAACAACATCCATCGCCGTCACAGTCTTCCTCCTGGCGTGCTCGGTGTAGGTCACAGCATCTCTAATCACATTCTCGAGAAAGATCTTGAGGACGCCTCTGGTCTCCTCATAGATCAGACCGGAGATACGCTTCACACCGCCTCTGCGAGCAAGGCGGCGGATGGCTGGCTTCGTGATACCCTGGATGTTGTCTCGGAGAACCTTCCTATGGCGCTTGGCGCCTCCCTTTCCCAAACCCTTTCCTCCCTTTCCGCGGCCAGACATTTTTACACAGAGATATTGGATGAAGAAGATAGGGTTTGCTTATTGAAAACGATTTAGGGGTGAGATGTTGAAAATGTGGTTGCTTGGGGTTATTTATACATCGAGACTCCAGGAGGTTGTTTTTTGAAAATTTGCCGGGGATCTAATCTTGATCGTCCGTTTCAAGTGGGTAATCGACGTTCAATGATTGCGATCCGAGAGTAAAGCAAAGACGTACGTGAGTGGTTGATTGTTAGTGAATCGACGGATAGAATACACTTATTGACTATTGTCAGATACTTACATGGCGCTAAATTTTCGGACTGAAGTAGAAAGTTGGGCGCTGAGGCGGGAGACCTTAGTGTTTTTGGTTTTGTAGGTTACTTTTTGTTTTAAACCAATGTAGTACTCTTGCATAAGCATGAAAAAGAGCATTTTATGCATATATTTTTATTCACGATTCAATTAAATATTAAAATAAAAATACTTTTTAGAATTCAATATTTTTGAGAAATAAGAATACAATAAGTTAATACCATAAATTATAAACCCATTAAATACATATTTAATGAAGAGTATATTAGGAAAATTCAATTGACATCATTCATTAGAATTTACTACACTTAAAAATTTTCATGATTAAATTAAATTTAAAATTAAATACTATTCTGAAAAAGTGAGAACAAGTGAGTGACATAAACTTTAAGTGAATAGAATAATTATTAAAATTAATGAATAGTATTAGTTGAAAAAGAAGTTACTACGCATAAGTTAAATTAGAACTAATATATGAGAGAGAAAATATTCTGTTAAATTCTCAACCTATTTCTCTTATGCCTAAAAGAACTGCATATAATAGAAAATCATCTCACTCGATCAATTGTTAGTCGGAATAGCTAGTACCTAAAAATGCTGCACATGAGAGAGAACATTCTCCCGCTCCATTCCCTCGTCAACCATTAGCAACTTATCTTCTGATATCTAAAAATAGTACATATGGAAGAAAAAAATCTTCCGCTCAATTATTAGCATTATTATCTTCTTGTACCTAAAACTCTTAAATATTAGAGAGAAGGTTCTTCCGCTCAATTGTTAATCGACTTACCTTATACCTAAAAGCATTACCTCTAACATCCCGCCCAGTAGGACTCGATGTAGTTACTCCAAACCTCTAGTACTATTCTCACAAATCACCACAAAACTAACCTGAGTGTAATACTACATATGAAAGAGAAAGTTGTTCTGCTCAGTTGTTCTGCTCAGGTGTTTGTCGGTTTACCTTGCACCTAAATGTACTATATATGAGAGAGAAATTATTCCGCTCAATTATTTGTCGGCTTAACTCATACATTAAATAACTACACATGAGATAGAGAATTTCTCTCACTCGTTATTATGAATAGTGTGAGTATTGATTCTCAAGTTTATTTTGATGTTTCTTCAGGTTTGATGTGACCTCTTATTCTAGTTGGTAATCTACTACAGTGTTTCGTTCATGATCCATTGCATAGTAAGAGATGTGCATTTTTTGTTCAGATATTCTTCCAGATGATGGATTATAAATCATTTGAAACTCTTTCATAAGTCTATCTAACTTGTATGCACAAAATTGAAAGAGCGCAATAATGACCAAATTCAAATTCAAGTATCTTTATATTTTTAATGAAATGCAATTTTTTAAGATTCTCATTCTTTTAACTTTTAAAGGTGATTTGATTCACCGACAATAATAATAATAATAATAATAATGATGATGATGATGATGATGATGATGATAATAATACTCTCTCGTCGCATAAAATTATTCCCGATTTGACTTGTATCAGAGTGTAGAGCCCATTTGGTAATCTTGTTTTTTGGCTTATCAGGCTTATCAGCAATTTTTTCCATCAAACGCATATTTTTTGACTTCACACATTGAATTGTGTAATAATAAGAAAAAGTAAGGTTGGATTACCTTTCAGTGTATTGGTCGAAGTTACTGTAGAGGGCCATTTTAGCTGTTTTTATATAAGTTTTTCTTCATTTTCATAAATCAGCACAATCAGCCACTCCAGTCACTTCTGACAGAACTTCATAAATTTCAGCAGAATCAGCCAGTTCAGTCGATTTTGGTATTACCGAACGTGTTCTAAGAAAGTGAGAAGAAAGTTAAAAATTGAGGTTGTGGTTGAGTAAGAAAAAAAGGTTAATGAATTTTAGCCACACGAACACTCCAAAGATCACTAATGGAAAGCTTACAAGAAGAAAGTTATGCCGTTCAATTGTTAGCTAGTTTACCTTATAACTAAAAGTACTACGTATGAGAGAGAAGTTTTTCCACTCAATTGTTAGTCACCTTATATATGAAAGAAACAATTCTTCAGCTCATTATTATGAATAGTGTAAACTTTTATTCGCAGGTTTATTTTCATTTTTTCTAAATTCAGTTCCATTTGGGTTCTTATTCCCGCTGGTAATCTTCTACAGTGCTTCTTTCATGACCCGTTATATAGTAAGGGATGTGCATTTTTTGTTCAAATATTCTTCTAGATGTATGATATACATCACAACGTACATATTAAAATTCATAGTTTTTTATGACATTTCATTAAACTATGTAACTAAATTGGCTACGAGTATCCTTTTATGGTCACTGTGATTGAAACACAACTATATTAATAAAAAAATAATAAGTCATATTTATATCTATTAAACTTATTTTAGTTATATATTAGAAATTCTGTATTCATTTAATACGGAATAATTGATATTGTGGTAGGAAAATATGAAGATTTAATAAACCTTCATGTTTTTTTAAAATTATATATATATACAATATTGGTGTCATATGAAAGATCGTAAAAAAATATTAAGGCATAAGGTGTTACTTGAAAACTTTGATTTCAATTTTTTTAGCCAGAAGCTGAAAGCACTTTTTAATCTCTTGCAAACACTCCATTAGTAAGCCAAAATTTTATATTTTCTGTCTTCTTAATTCGTTTATTTATAAAGACAACAAAAATGCATAAGATGAAGCTACATAGTATATGTAGAGCAATGCTCTCTAACACTGGTAAATAGACACATTGCATAGTAATCAGGGTAACACATTATTTTTAATAACCTACTACTTTCTTATACTACATTCGTCCCATGGAAATTTTCAATTTTTTGTCGTCCCAAAAAACATCGTCATTTTCACTTATAGCGAGGGAGTGCCACAAGGGTAGCGAGGGAGTGCCACAAGGGTTAGGTCCCGGGTTCGAATCCCGACAACTGCGATGAGAGGTTACTATGCTAAAAAATGCATGGGGTCTCTGCAAGTACCGGGGACAGAGCATCACTCCTTATCTGTCAGATTGAGATTATATGTCAACTTACATCCCCCCAACGTACCGTCTGGTCGGGATTGGAGGCCCTTAGGAATGGGGTGTCATCCTTTTTTTTTATCTAGGGTGCCCGAAATAGTACCAATCACTTGGGAGAGAGGACCCACAAAGCACCAGTTGAAATACGAGAAGGGCGAGTTATGATTATTAATAGAGAGAATTCCCCAAATAGGAGTAAAACATAGGCAAAATGCAAAAAATAGGAGTACCATGTTTCGAATAGGAGTAACTTTAGTGTTTGGACAAGTATACCCTTACCCAAACCCCAAGCCACAACAACTTTCATTAATAATTAAAACATAAAAGAAATACTCCATAAGATTAATTAATTTATAATAAACTTGTAAAAACAAAAAAAAAACACAAAAAATATCAAATAAAACATACTCCGTATTAAATAAAATAAAAAATTATTAAAATAAAAAAATAAAAATAAAAAACTAAAAAAAATTTAAAAAAATTAAAAATGAAATATATATATATATAAAAATATGTAGGCGTTTGCCGCCGACTCAACAACCTCCCAGCATCACCAGCTCCGACCACCGAAAAAAATGTCAACATTTTCCCGAAATGCCATCAAGATGGCAGATTTTGGGAAAATTTGGCATTTTCAAAGAGTAAAACTGTCATTTTTATGGCATTTTCAAAAAAAATGGTAGTTTTTACATAAAATGACATTTTTTCGCCGACCGGAGGTGACATTGCTGGGTGATGACCGAGGCTGCGAGAAAGGCTTGCATAATTTTTTATATTTTTTAATACAATTTATCTATTTTTTATTTATTTTCAAAGTTTTTTATTTTTATAAAATAACTTTTTAAATTTTTATTTTCAAAGTCGTTGTCGTTTCCCCAAAATTTTACTTTTTTTAATATTTTAATATTGTTGGGATGAACTTAGATTATTTTTAAAATTAAATGGCCTGCATAAAGGTATTGTTTCCCGTGAATGAACTTATATATTTTTTTAATATAATCAAATAAGTCATATTTTAGAATTAACTAGGTTAGGGATATAAATAAGATATTAAGATTACAAAATTAATGTACTCTTATTGAAGAAAGTTTTAAGTTTTACTCCTATTTGTGCAATTATGTTTATGTTTACTCCTATATTGGACAATTTCTCTTATTAATATACAGGAGAGTTTGAGACTCAAAAACCTCCTTAATAGACCTTAAAGCACTCTGGAAAGAGGTCATCTAATTGGACCAAAGGATCTTACTCTGGCTAAGCTTTCACCAGAGTTTCAGTAAGATTTCTGAACCCCCTTTTCAATAACATGATAGCAACATCTATTCCAAGATCTCCAAATGATTTTAATTATTATCTGGTGCTCTATCCAAAGAAAGTGAGAGTATTAAATTTCAATCAGATTAATAGTTGTAACAGAGATTCTGGAAATAGCCAATGTGATAAAGAGATATAGTAACAAAAACATTATTAATGAAGATCATTCTATATTTTTATCCCAACCGAAAGGTAATGATGTTTCCAACAAGCAAGTTTGTTATCACTTTTATGAACAATATGATCGAAATAATAGGTTTTCACTCTCCCCTTAGAAATATTTGAAGCCAATATATATAAGGGAAACATCCTTAATTAATGTTAAAAAACACTTCTAATATTATTGCAGGCCATTCTAATAATAAAAGCTACACTACTCATGAGCTGACCAAAAAATTCTCAGTAAATACGAATGGTGTCCTTTAAAACCTGTAAATTTCTTTAATTAGCATTAGTAACGTTCTTAGGTAATAATAATACTTGATGACAAGTACTGTAAAAGTGCAAACCGGCCAGTCCAAAATTGGAAGAAGGCCATAACTCATCCGTGACCAGTCCTACAATCCTTTAGCGTCAAAATGTTGTACTACGTATAAAATAAGCTTAACAAATACTCCCTATGATCCTTAAAATAGGCTTCATTTCACACAAATTGAATGCCTTACAAAGCCAGTCGGTCCGTCCGCCCACACTTGTAACTCAAACGAACTAAATATTTACAAACCACATTTACCTCAAGGAGGTACAACAGGGCTGCTTTCTGGACTGTAGGTTCCAGAAAAATAATAACAATTAAAAAGAAACAAGAATACTCCAAATATAAGAAAACCCAGCATAGCCATTCTGAGCACCTGATGATCATATGATACATTATCTATCCTGTCGCCTAAACGAGATGACGGGATATCCTCCTCCTCTTCATGGTTCATATCGGAATCAGACGTATCCCTATTTTCGCTGTCGTCCTCATCTTCGATATGCATGCTGCCAATGTCACATCTTGAGCATTTGCAGGACCCACCAAGATACGATGGGAGTTTCTCTGTACACTCAGAGAGAAGAACCTTCTGATAAGTCTCCCCTAAAAATCTCAGTTTCTGCCTAGTGGTGGGTTTTAAAACCTGTTACAGAATGGCCAACAATGAGGAAAAAGCTATGGTGAGAGGAAAACATATACTAATAAAAGTTCGAATATTTTCTTATGATTGAATCTACTTTGGAAAATGCTAAGGAGAATGAATACAACTAAGCATTTATTTTTTTACATTTAGATTTTTATTAGTTTAGACATAAATATTATGAATGAGAACAAATATCAAATTTCTTAGTTTGAACCTATCTTCTTTTTTTCCCTTCCAACAGTCACTCTCTATTTACTCCATTTTCCTTTCTCAGGCATTTGTTCTAGTCCCAAAGGAACCCTAAAGTACAACTAGACCAGAAACAAAAATGAAAGCACACCTGCAGGAAAGTTTGTGCAAAAACTCGAACAATAGATGGAAGCTTGATAACAAATAAGCTTCCCAGGGAGTTAGGGAAGTGGGTTTGCAGAAGAGTAGAACAGGTTTTTAGCATCTGCATAGGAAGTCTGAAAGGCGACATGCCTTCACAGTCAACCAAGACAGTTATTTGAGGATCGTCTCTGTTTACTAGATGCATGATCCCGTGATACACCTGAGATACTTCAGATGCAGAAAATCGATCAATTGATTGAGCATAACAGGTATAGTAATTAGTATGAATGCTCAGAACAAGAATTGCTTCTAGGGCTAAACAAATGATAGCTTACCACCACATAGCAAAATAATAAATCTTACTACCTGATAGAGACCTAGATAGTACTAGTAACCTGCTGCGTTGGTTGAGGTACGTATCACTACCTCCATCCCATAATGCAAGATGCATACGAGTTTGGTGCGAGTTTTAAGAAAATAAAGGATAAAGTGGTTGTTTTACAATTTTAACCTCCAACATGTAAGGAAGAGAAAAATGGATCCCCCAAAAGTAAAGGATGAAATGATAGATAAAGGGATAAAGTGGGAAAGTAAAACGTTAGTGGAATCCAAATTTAAGAAAATGTTCATATTTTTGGGACAACCCAAAAAGGAAAGTATATCTTACAAAATGGGATGGAGGGAGTACTATTTTTCACAACCTTGGAGAAATGGTTCTCACGTTTGGAATCCGGACCGGAGAAATAAATTCATGAGAAATCTATAGAGGAAATTTGTAATGAGAGAAAATGTAGAGGGGATAAAACATTGGTTCCAATTCAATCAATTTATTGTAGATTTGTTGGTACTCATCTTATTTATTCATTTCTAATATACAGACAGAATTTTGACATGTAAAAATTTTAAAATCCTATTCCATTTTCTTTGCATTTTATGAGGCAAAACTAAACACAGAAAACAACTTTCCGTAGTATTTGTTTTCAATTCCCTAGTATTTTCAGAGATCCAAACATACTCCAATACTTCCGGAAGAAATATTATTACTCCATCTTCATCCACATGAGTGGCTTGCAACAAATTTGAGTGAAATCTCACAGAAAAGTTTATATTTGAGTCAAATCCCATGGAAAACTGTGATGCTTTGACGGTCCTGCCACTAAAAGCTGAAAGGTGAAGGAATGAGGATCCTTAAGGGAATCTCAGATCTCATAAGATGCTAGGAAAAGGGAGAAATGCAAAAAATGCTTTCTTATGTTTGAATTTATCATGGAAAATGCTAAGAAAAATGAAATATTACTATTATTTTTTGTATATTTTTAGACTTCCTACTCTTTATGTAATAGAGATAAATGAATCAAATGGGGTTGAACAAATGTCTAAAATTAATTAGAGTTCGGATTTACTTCGAAAAATGCAAAGGGAAATGAATAATGGGCTTTTACATATATTTAGATTCTGTAATGTTTATATAATTAAAAATATAATACTATAAATGAATAAAATGGGCTGAACAAGTAGCTAAAACACAGAGTTTGAATCTATTTTTATTTCCCCCCCAGTTTTTTTCCTTATTATATTCCATGTTGCACACGTACCCTAAAGATCAAGGAAAGTGAGAGGGGTACTGTAACGTTTTGGACTTGTTATAGAAAAAAATTGCTTCCCAAGAACAGAGCATGCAATGAAAAGTAGTAAAAGGTTACTAGAGAGCAACAGGTTAAGACTTAAGACAGAACCCCATACCAATTGCTTGACCAAAGCGTTGCCGATCACGAAATGGCAAGCTACTGCAAGCTAAACCAAGACGAACTATCAGGAGAGGCTTCTGCTTCAGATCAAATCCATGCCAAAATACCATACTAGACCACATCTCAAGTTCTTGCCCAGAAAGAATTATATAAGTCTCTCTCCATTGGATAGTTTTCTTTATAGATGAAAGTAGTCGCGAAAAGTCACCATCTGCAGCAATATAAAATCTACGGATGTCTTCTTCACTAATTCTGCGCAAACATTAGCATGTCAGGCTCAAATGTAAGAAGAGAAGCCAATAAATTTGAAACATGCCATTATGAGATGATGAAATTAAAGTTATGTTTTGCATGTCATTTCATATACATGGTAAATGAAAGATCTGGAATTTCATTTGCCACCCAAGTATCCAACTAAAATTCATGTATGCGTGCTAGTTGAGAATTATAAGGAGTAAATTGAAGAAGTACTGGATAGAATAAATGAAAGGGTAGTTATAGTTGCTTTTAATTTAATCTACTCCATTTCATATTTCTCATTACTTATATGTCCCTTCCTTTCATATTAAGTCCAATACTACCTTTCATTATTATAGATTATATTTCGTGCCATTTTTAATCATTTAACCTTTTTCAACTACAATTTCAATTAATCTTGTCAAACATTTCTATTAATTTCATCTCCATCTACCCTCATTGCATCTTTCATTTAGTGGTTGTTCGGTAAGCTGGGAATATATTCCCACTGAGGCTCTGGGAATATATAATTACATAATTCATAAAAGTTCATTTATTTATTTATCCCAGATTATTCCAACGGAAACCAAACTATAAAAAGTACACCCAGTAATTTCATTCCAATTAATCTAACTATGACATTAGAGATCCATCTCTGCTTCTTATATATTACTCTCCCACAGATATTAAATTTCATTCCTCAGTTATTCCTTTCGTCCAACAAAACAGCACACCAGTACTTCATAATTAATCTAGCTATTCATCTAGCTGTACCAAACTTGTACTGATATATGCGCCAACGTAATTAAATATGAAATGTTAATTGGAACCCGATGGGGGAGCTTGTGTGGACAAACAGACCAAGAAATTATCAAGTAAAAGAACAAGAAACATGAATTTGAACAGCATGAACATTAACAAGACCATGCAAAAATGTTTATTCGATCCAGAAATAACCTATCTCTCAAAGTAATTCCCTGCTCTTCCAGCTCTTTATGCAGTTGAGATAGCCAACTGGCAGGCAGTACAGGAAGATGATCCTCAGCACTGCACAAAGAAAGATCAAGGCGGTTTTTTGGCTGAAATAAAACATGGACTTTTAGATGTACTAAATCCCTACATCAACAATGTCAATGCATAGATGATATGCTTATCGATGATAGATGTAAGATATATGAGAAAAGAGAGAACTTCAATTTGTTTGTCAACCAATAAGTATCAATGATTGCTGCTACGGCATAAGCGTAAATAATTAGTGGTGTACCTCAGGGAGACCAAAGGGTGCATAGAGGATAACTCTGGCTGAATTTCACAAATACCATAGGAATCATCATCCCCGTGATTAGCTTCATTACTCTCTGTGGTGGAATTACTACATTCTGGATTATCAGAGAAAGCTGTGGCAATAGATAGCACCAGTAGTGGTCGGGATAACATCTATCCCAAAATGAAGGCCATGACTATCAGATGTCCAGATAAAGATAACAGCAGAGCTAATGATTTTCTAGATAATAAAAAACATAAATAGAATGATAATCATATATAAGGAGATAAAAAGCTACAAATAGTCATCAATTTCCCCCCAACTCTACCAATGGGCTGATACAGTCTATGACTTCAAGATATATATGAACTGTAGAGATTAGGAACAGTAGAATGTTAATTCTATTCAGAAGACAGAAACAAAGGTTACAACTTTGAGTTTCCACCAACCTGCATGCCTTTAACCAGCATTCCAAAGGGAGCCCACTTCTGGATCCATTTAAATGGAGGATAACAGATGACTTGTAAAGCCTGGAGGCCAGACCACACTGGGGGACATCTTGACTTTGAGATCCTTCTTACACTCTCCAAAGCAGCAACTTTCAATAAGAATAGTGCTATCTGACAACCAGCTCCCTTTCCCAATTTCCCACCACCAAACAAAGATATCCTACCTGAAGATTGCCGTGCAAAATATTTTGAACCGGAAGAGATGGCATGCCTTTTTGAATGTTTGTTACCGATCATGGCACAGTTTGTACCAGAATTCCCTATTGACAAAGGATTAGAGACTGAATTTTCCATGCAGAGTTTGTAGGATGATTATATAGCAGTCACTTCAAAGATGAGGAAAATTTGGATCATAAGGAGGCAAAGTCAGGTCCACTCTGCCGTGGGTTGAGTAGTTGAAGCCCCTATGAGAAGAACCCAGATTCAAACATAAATGAGAAGTATTTGTAATAGGATAGCATGTGTGTATAATTACAACAAAAAAACAACAAACTGAGCAAAATATGTAGCTTAGTTTCAATGGAACTGCATCAGGCAAAAGCACAAAAGTAAGATAGCACGACCAATTATCGCATTCAGATTCAGCATTTACACTATTGTCAACAAATTGTTCAAATGTGTGATAACTGATAGGAACTAGATATTGTTTGGCATGAAGGAGCCTGGGAAAGAGGCTTTACTGAAAAGCTTCAATTGTTGAACTCATTGAACATGTGCGTCTTGCCTTTATTCTGGATTTAAATTTGTTGTTTTAAAATACTCGTATCAGTTTAGACCCGAACAAAGCCGCGGCTAAGTATAATTCGGTTCTAGGGCCCAGTGTTCTGCCTAGAGGCCGTTGTATCCCTAACCCATTTTAGAGCACTGCTTAACGGATCATTTCATAAATTTGTGAATTGTGATCGCACCAACTTACACTCTTTGACGTAGATAATCTGGGATAAGTTGTGAGGAAAGCAAGCATTTAAAGAATCCATGTTTCCAATGATATACTCCATATCTCTCACAAAAGTCTAAAAGTGAGTGCAGAGATTATCCACGTTTCTTTAGTTTGTACTGAGTGAGGAATCACTGAGGATTGAGGAATGACCCATTCATGCACTCTGGTATATATGAATTATGAAACATTCATGTGCCATTTGTGATGACTGATGATGGCATTGGAGTATTAAACTTTCCAAAGGAATTACATGATTCTGTTGACCATTGACAGAAAAACATGCTATAATGCTAATAGCAGAAAATGTGAGAAAGAGAGAAAGGGCAATAATTGTGCTTAGAAATCACTATATCATTCCATCAGGTACCCATGACATGGCACATAGATCATTACACTACTCCGTATTCTATAAGTTAATTGAATAAAGTTTCTAAGTTTCAACATTGAAACATGATTCGAAGCTTAACGGTTTGTAATACCACTGAACTTTTCCATTGTGGGATTAAAAGTCATCGCCTTTTAAAAACGAAGGAAGCTAATGCGAGGAGATTATACCTGGATCGGGAAACTAAACTCGTTCCGGACCAGAGTCTGAGTAGCAGGATAGAATTCCAAAGGAGAAAATGCGTAAAAGTCTAGGTCGCTCAATGCCCAGCTTTTGTGCAGGCGGGTATGGCCTTCTTTTTCGGCAAAGAAAAGACAGAAGAGGGGGAAGAATATTTGGATTCGCCGGAAAGTCAAATACAGGGGCGAAGATGGCATAACAACTTTGGCGGTGGAGTAGAGACTGCATTCATTGTGTAGTTTACTGGAAATTTCAGGAATTCGTCCTTTGAAATATTTGGCCGCTTTAAGATGTCAACCCCCGTCCCTTTTCACCGGTTACAAATTTACAATTAAAAAATGTGACATGACATTTCAAATACTCCTTTTTGTCATCATATTTAATTTTATATTAATAAAAATATTTAAAAACGAATTAAATAATACTCTATATTTTTTAAAAATAATTCTCATATGCAAAAGTTTGTTGGAGATTCCCCTCGAGTCTTCACCACTTTATCACTTTATCTTCATATTTTTTATTTGTTATAGTCATGGATGAACTTACGAAGTCAATTCAAGAACATATACCGTGACGCATGATGTTTGTCAATGATATTGTATTGATTGATGAGACACAATCGGGTGCTAAAACAAAGTTGGAAGTATGACGACAAACATCGGAGACCAAATGTTTTAGACTGATTCGAAGCAATACCGAGTATATAGAGTTCAAGTTTGCTGGATGTAGAAGTAGTAGCAACAACATGGTTACTCTTGATGGTAAGGATATATCAGTGTATGATATGTTTCGTTACTTGGGCTCCATAATTCAGAAGGATGGTGAATTAGATGAAGATGTATCGCATAGAATCAGAGTTGGGTGGATGAAATGAAAGTGCATCAGGATTTCTATGCGATCGGGATGCTGACTAGACTGAAAAGTAAATTTTATCGAACAACAATTACGCGTCCATTAATGTATAGCGTAGAGTGTTGGGCGTGAAACAATGTCACCTTAAAAAGATGAGTGTGGCAGAGATGTGCCGTTATACTGCGTTGAATGTGTGGACATACAAGAAAAAGCCGCCTGAACAATGAGATAATCAGACAAAAGGTGGAAGTAACATCTATAGAAGATAAGATGCAGGAGTTTCACTTGCGATGATTTGGACATGTGCGTAGAAGATCGAGTGATGCACCTGTTAGGCGACTTGAGTCTTGAGAGGTGGTGAAAAGAGACATAGAGGAGAGGGAGGGAAAGACCCAAACAGAGTTGGATTAGAGGAATCAGAACTGATATGCATATTCTTGGGTTGGATGAGAGTATGGCTTTAGAGAGGTCAAAGTGGAGGGCGCACATTCGTGTGGACGATTGATCTCTTTTCTTTTTTTTTTCTTGTCTTTTTCTTTTATCGTTTAATTATCTTCTTTGTCTTTTTATGTTCTTACGTTATTTTTATCTTTCTAACTTTTTATGCTGTTTTTTGTTTTAATTTTTTATCTTTCTTATATTCTTATGTTATTATTATCTTATACTACGTATTTATTTATTTTTATCTTATTCGCTTTATCATTTTTTTCATTTTTTTGCTTTTGTCTTTTTTTGGCATCAATATCATGGATCGTTTCATGTTAGTCGACCCAAAATCTTTTGGAATTAAGACTTGAATGTTGTTGTTGTAATAATTATTTAAAACTAAAAAAGAAATTATGAAATTGTTCTCAACGGTCACACCTAGGCATGGATCGGGTCCGTCATGTCCCTGTTTCGGGTTAATTAAGACCGTCCGGTCCTTGCCTAATTGAGAGTATTTGTAGTACTAGTGTATATTCTTGATCTTATTTATTTAATCCTATTTAATGTTGTTTAATTTGAGTATTCGACATTACAAAAAAAATGACGGGATTGACACATGGACTTACCGAATTTTCGTGCCAAAGTGTTTTTGGCACGAATTTAACATATCGCTGCCAAAATCTCTGCCACATCCTTGTCAACATCCATGCTAATCTCATATATTTTTTGTAGTGCTATCTCATTCAAAAAATACAGGATGAGACACGTAGTAGCAAATAAACCTATTCACAAGCCTGCATGTTGTACGCGTGTAGACACTGGTTACTCTCCAAGCCAAGTATTACTATACATTTTATTTTATTTATTATATCCATCGAATCCTTGATCCCTTGGATATATGTATTAAGGAGTATATATTTATATATCTGATCTATCGTGTATAAATGCATATATAGTTTTAAAAGGAGTTAGGAGCTAGCGAAATCGAGCAGTACGTCTGAAATTAAATCACGCTGTTATTAGCTAGTTTAATTTATATGCAATTCAGTATCAATAGATCCATATATAGATCAATCATATCGAGCTAGAGTAGAAAATAAAATTCAAGAATAATTAATCGTAGTTATCTAGAGCTAGATCGAGTTTAATTTATTATTGAAGAGATCGAAGGATTGATCGGAAGATATATATATGGCGTCGAGCTTGGGCGGTCCAGCGTTCGCGTATACGGTCGTGTACGCGAAAGATGTTACCAAATCGGTTGATTTCTACGCTAAGGCTTTCGGCTACAACGTTCGTCGTTTGGATCACAACCTCAAGTAATTTAATTTCACCTTCACCACGATTATACATATACATACAAATCAGTTGTGTACGTACTGTAATTGTCTGGTCAAGTTTATTTAAGTCTCATTAGATAGAGGCATATGAAATTGGTCAGATTTTCTTAAGCCTCATCTTATAGAGATATATAAATTTGGTATGGAATGGAGTTCCAAAATATAATGGTAATAAATTTTGTCTATAAAAAAATTATATAATGTGTGCACAATAATTACACGGTACTATTGATAAAAAAAATAGTACCGTGTAATTATTGTGCACACATAATTACATGGTACTATATTTTGCATTTGGATGTGAATTATGTGTGTAGATGGGCGGAGCTAGAGAGCGGATCGACGACAATAGCGTTCACGCCGATGCATCAACGGGAGACTGATGATCTAACCGGTCAGGTCCGGACTCCGGATTCCGCCGGTGAGAGGCAGGCAATTGAGCTTTGCTTCGATTATGTTGACGTGGATGCTGCCTACAAGGTACGTACGTAGTTATTAGTTACTTAATTATAATGAATTAAATACAATTCATAATGGTGGTACGTGGTGGTGATCTTATCAGAGAGCGGTGGAGAACGGGGCGGTGCCGGTGACGCCTCCGGCGGATAAAAAATGGGGGCAAAGAGTGGGTTACGTACGAGATATTGATGGAAACGTCGTCAGGATGGGGAGCCACGTTAAATAACCTTCCGTGTGTTTGATTTGGTGGTTTATGTTCCGCAAAAAGTGTACTCCGTATTATTACGTTATTTGCCAATAAAATAATGTTATCTGCCACTGAGAAAAATTGTTATAACTATGAAAGAAGACTTTCCGTACTCACTTCGAGTCTTGTATCAAAGTGTGAATCAATTAGGGGAAACGCAACTTGCAATTGGAATTTTGAACGGAAATTTAAATCGAGGGGAAATAGATTTTAATCAATGGCAAATGAAAATTTAGTTGAGTGTTCTTTGAACCCCTCCATAATAATAGAATAAAATCCAATAACAATTTCTATGTAACGTCACAAATCACTTAACGTTGGTACTTGATACTACCTGCGTTGTTAAATAAATGCCAATGCACAACCATGGTCAAGATGATCGAAATATGTCCAATATACCATCATGCGTGATAGTGGGATACAAACAATTTAAGATAATCAGAAAGGATAAGTCCGATTTTAGTGGGGTATATATGAACATCATACGGATCTTATTGTTGTGTTGTTCGTTCCCGTTAACGATCGAGCTCAAGAATTATAAGAAGATGATCGAAAGGATATGGAAGATAAGATCTACTATAGTTTCTTAGATTTCCAGGAAATTAAAGAACGACCAATGTAAAAGGCATATCCTGAAACACTCCTTCTATGAGCTGCACTCTGTCAATATGAGCTGCACTCGATCAGGTCTTCGTAACAATTTCCATCTGAAGTCCTACATGTTTTAGGATTATCTAGGTTACAATTTTTATAACCATGATCATTTAAAATATCAAGAGTACATTTCCTTATGCCTAATTTATATTTCAATTCGCCTAAGATCCTTTATAGTGAACTAATTATTATTCTTCCATATTGTTTCCACCAAAGATCATTAACATAGACTCAAAGAACTATTTCACAGTTCTATCATTTTTGTGAATAAAGAAGAATATGCTTGTGATCGAGTGTTGTATCCAAACAATTTAAGATAATCAGAAAGCGTACAAGACCATTGTCTAGATGTTTGTTCAAGGCTATAGACTTTTGATAAGCGTACAAAATCATTATCATTAGCAGACAAGTAACCTTGAGGTGCTAAAAATCAGTTTTAGCACTAGCAATAGCTAACAGTAGGTGACAGTTTAGTTTTAAAAATAATCCTAGCAATAGATTGAGTTTAGTTTTCCTAGCAATAGATTGAGTTTAGTTTTAAAATTCCATTTACAGCCTTTTTCCATTCAGGAAGTTTAGCAGCTTGTTTAAAAAGTTCACTGATATTAGGAATAGAAGTCGTAAAACAAGAATGAGAATCAGTAATATAGTTTTGAATGAGGTATCTGACAAAATTACAGGAGGATGAAGGTTCAAAGATACCTGTAGTGATAGAATTAGGTAAGTCATAACCTAGTCTTGTAAATGAATAGGTAGAGATCTTACCCTTGTAGATTTTCTTTGTGAATGATCTTCTGGAATTGTAGGCGGGATATTAGAAGTCTCTAATACACAAGAATCACTATTATGAATAGAATTATTCTATATCATCATTGATGTGGTTCTCCAAATATTCATTTGAGGAAATGTTATTATTTTTAGAAACATTATAATCATAAAAATGGTCATAATTGGAAAGATTTAAGGACTCAGAATCAGATTGAGTATTATCAGAATTAGAAGAAACATAATCTTTTCTATAGGGAAAAACCATTTCATAAAATTTGACATTTCTAGAGAAATAAAATTTGTGATTAGAAATATCATAAAGTTCGTATCCTTTAGATCCTAAAAGATTACGTGTTAGGAAATTGTTGTAACGTACTTTGAAAGTATGGCAACAGAAGTTTAAAATTTTCCCAAACAGATCTTCCCTGATTATGACAAAATAATGAATATGATAATAATAACATATCTGAGTTAGAACTTACAGATCTTCTAGCCTAGCGGTGATGATCCTTGA